AATTAGGATCAACATCCTTGACATTTCAGCCACTTTACGGACTTATCCGCCAAGTGGCCGGCCGGCTTGAGTGGATCCTTACCGTCATCGGGTCCGCGCCGCTCCGGCCTCTCAATGCTTAGTAGGTAGACTAAGCCGATCCATTAAAATTCATCATTGATGTTGGAATTTTGAAATTCGCGTTATTTTTGGCAACATTTATCTGCGTTCCCAGAGTTTTACACAGTAAAGCAGTGGGTCGGGACTAGTAGTGCGGAAATATCAATTTACAATGGAGGTTTCCTGGGCATGGGTACGGAGTAGTCGTGTAACATTTATCGTACCCTAGAAGCACGGATAATGGAGGCAACAACCCTTTCACAACCAAATAGCCATGGCCACAATTGAGAGGGCGAAGTGTATGGCCGCATGTTTAGTTGCAGGACTACATTCCAGCTGATGAGGTAGCTGATCAGGCTATTGAGCAGGTCAATGGGCGGCCATACGCCGCGAGGCTTCCTATAGTCATGCTTGACTATTAACGGATCAATCTCGTCAACCCGGAATGCTATGTATGTAAGCAAAACTAATGGCGGTCCTAGCCCATGGAGCAGAGAAACTTCTGACTCTGGATTGAGGTGCCAGAAATAACTAGCTGAGAGACCAGGAGACTGACTAAGTTATGCTGAAACTGTCTACGTGTTTTTCAACTTGAGATAGAAGTCGTCGCTTTTTCTTGCCTCACCCAGGGCGGCTACAGAGGCATTGTGAAACCTGGGGTTCTGGCAGTCACCCACCACTACAATGATAGCGAACCGTTTGGTTAGAGCCCATGAAACAAAATGCGGCCTGACTTTTCCATGTGACTTTTATGATGAACATAGGAGAGAAATCCTGCGGGCTACAAGTGAGCGGCCACCTCTGAAGAACGGAAACGGGCTTCTCCGTCGCCTGCATTTCCCATTTCCCATGTGCCTGCGTGCATGCATATTCATGCAGTATCAGGCCCTGCAGAGGAAAGGCAGAATTGAAGAATTGTAGATGCCTATCTCGTCCTTTGAGATATCTATCAAACTTCGATACTATGTACTTACTATGGGGTAAGAATCAACGTATCATGCACCAGTCATAGTACGTACCCAATAGGGACAAGCACTTTTGAGTCCAAAAATAGTACAGGGTACCACGGAGACTGCGCCACAATACCGGGCTAGTGGCACACCTGGATCCATTTTCTAGGGTTCCTTGCTCTCTCTCTCCTAGGTTTCTCCCAATACCACTGTCTTTTCAGCACCTGGTATCGGTACTTTTCAAAAGGCAATCTGGAAGTTGCACGTGCATCTGTTGATTCTTTTTTCCCTTGGAGCCTTGGTTCCGGCGCGCGGCCGAGCGATCAGTGGATCCATCCATCCATCCATCTTGGGACCCAAGCTCCAAGACATACACACTATGGTACTATGTACAGTCGGTGATTGACGTGCAATCAACCTCCTTCGGCTACGCGTCTTTGAGCGGGTCGTACATATCGTTCATTTCACCATCATCTACTACTCATGGCCTGAGGCAAGGTCATTGGCGACGCAGTCATGCAAGGGCAGATTACCTGATGCTGTGATGCTTCTAGAACTGCACCACGAGCTCCAACAACAGGACGGAAGAGGGTGACCAGACCCCTTGCCTACGCCCTTTCCTCCAAGAACAAACAGGGGGGCGACCTCGATGTTGGGTCTTGGTGCCCGTTCTCTGGAATGCATCACGCCTCCAAAAGTCCATAGCGGATCGGGCCAAGACGAGACAAGACAGACATTTTTTGACTCCAATACAAACTCCGCACAAAGGGCCAGGCGCCTATTACTACGCATGGTCTTGTAAAAGTCACTCATATTCCACTTTGGGACTGGCTTTTCCATCGACTCCATGACCCTTTGCCTGGTCTTCCCAGCTCTCTTTGTCTTGAGCCATCTCTGAGCGGTGATTGGCTATGGAGACTTGAGCCGAGAAGTGTCCCTAGCTCTGATTGGTTCATATTGTTAAGATCTGAGCCAATCACAGACTGTAAGAGCACTTTCACGAGAGCCTCACCTCACGTCTGACACTAGCATGGATGACTCTTCTTCGTACCAGGACATCGACGGGCTCTCATTCCTCTCCAGTCTTTTGGGAGCCACCCTGGCTCCTGATCTAGCCCCCGTGCTCCTTCCCTTTCTCACATTTGGATAAGTGTCCTCTCCTTTCTGGTATCCAGGCACAGAATTATCCAAGATGCATGGATCATGTCCCTCGACCTTGGACTCTTGAAGCAACGGGATGAAGTTTCATGGCCAACCACATAGTGAGAAGCCTATTTTCCCCTTAAAGACGAGACGGGAACGACGGGAGCGACCGCTACCTTATGGAACCCGAGCCGTTGAAGGTGAAGATACCCCTTATTAGATATCCATCAATGCTGAGGAATAGGGCGCAACACGGGGAAACAAGGCTGCTCTAGTGGTCGTGGGAGTGTAATTCCCTCACTTTCCAAGGCGCGGTCCGTCAAAAATTTCATGATAATATTCAAGGTAGGGGAATAGCGGCTCACATCACAGAGGTGGGTGTGATACTGGGAACTAAACCAGCTACAGAATGCATGCAACTGCTTCGAAAAGCCGAGCATTCGTGCGTCTACTACCCATCTAGTGCAAGTGTCATCTCATGCGTATGCGTATGCGCATGCAGGTCATCTCATAAGATGCTCCTGGACAAAGCGTTCGCTGAATCCCATTGACAGAATCGTAATGACATTGTTATTACCATCATTTCGCCAGCTGAAGATCCTGGGGGCATCAGCCAGCCCCGGGCACAATATTGGCATTGATCTCACCGAGCGTAGTGTCGATTAGGGTGTGATGGACGAGTCGTGCGAGTTCTTCGGATGGTAACTTGTGGGACGCGGGATACCGGAGCGCATGAATGTCTGAGGGTGAGGGCACGAATAGGCGAAAACGCCAGTGTCTTCTGTGGAAACGGCCATATCCGCCCTCTAGACTTTACTGAATTCTGAAGGCCGCATAAGCGGCGCTTCAAAGTCCCCCTCCTCAAAGGTTTCTATATGCTTGCGATGGCGGACTACGGAAACACTCGGCAGGCAGCGCAACAAAATATGCCGAAGGGCCATGAGCCCACTACGTACGGGACTGGAATGAAACAGAGAGTAGGAGGACTCATCAACCATCGATCTGCCCAGGAGCAGGTTGCATAATTTCTCCATAAAGCGTGCCGACCTGGGCGATCAGTCTCTTCTGTACGGGTTTATATGAAGGTGAAAGTGACTTGCTAGCTTGGACTAAACACTAAGCTGCAGGAACATAACTTATCACTTTTCAACTTTTTCCTGCTGATATACTACCAAGTGTGGTTTCGTTGAAGGTCCATGTCAGTTAGAGGAAGTATACTGCACAGGGGCCCAGGCCTGGTCTTTGATCAAGGTGCGTACACGGACACATATATAAACCAGACTGGTGGAAAGGACGGCATTGATAAGAGACCAGGATCAAAGACAGGGAATATGAAGAAGCGCCGGCGTTTGTTTCGTTTCCTGTTTCCTGACAGGAGAGCGCCTAGGCCAGGGCATGGTCTAGGCGTTGAAGTGTGGTAAGACGTCAAATGGCAAGATTTGTGGGAAGGGGGGGGGGGGGGGGGGGGGAGGAGGTGATATTGATTCATAGAGTCGAGATCAGATACTTCTTGAAGCCTGCTTTTCGATTGCCCAAGTTGTATTGAAGCAATGACGAGGGAGTGAGTTTCTTTGATCCAAGTTGACAGATATTTGTGATGTGACTTACGGACGGAAGCGGGTACATGGACACAGTAGCACTCCAAGTACCAGTACTTGAAGAGAACGCCACACCCACACAGCAAAAACCCTTTCCAGATTTTTTTGTGGCCCTACGTGAGTATCTAGACCAGGGTTCATTCACACGCTGTGAGTCAATGTCATATGCCCTATAGACTATAGTAACAACAGTGTGAGAAAGATAAGAAGAAGAAGGAAGAAGAAAACCCCGATTTTTTGTGCCGTCTGCTTGCATTCTTTCAGCTGTCAAGGTATCCATGTATAGGATGCTACATACAGACTCTCAGGGGACAATACGCAAGGTACAGTATGTAAGTATTGCCTCTTGGATAAGCCAGCATATGCAGGTCAACACAGCCGCACGCCTCCTCCGAGCAAAAATGAAGAACCTGACCTGAAATATTGCACACCCTCCGAGACACCCCGGACATGGTCAGTGTGCCGTGCAGCTGCAGATGCATCGCAGATGTGGAAGAGGCCAAAGAGCCTGGCTAGTCTAGTCGGGCTTACGCTGCCCGGGGCGGGCTTGGAGGTCGGTGCCCGTCATGACCTGTAGGGTGACTTGGTGAGTGAGGTGGCTTGGCTCCCTCCAACAGTGGGCCGCCGCCTATAGCCTCTTCACTAAAATACTAAATACAGGGCTGCCTTTTAGCTCATCAGTCCCCGCTCCGACTTAACCACCAGCACCCACCAGCACCAGCACCACCAGCGGCTTTTAAGTTACCCACCACCAGCACCACCTCCCAAACCCCAAAGTATATCATCTCCCCACACCACCTGCACCCTCCGTTTCCCCTTCCCTCTTCTTCTTCCTTCTTTACGAGCAATTCGTCCTACGTTCTCTTTCTTCTTACTCGGTTGCGGCAGCTTAGCAGGCGATTTCACCTCAAACAGATCAGACAAGATAATACTATAGTACCGCCCATCAACCTCTACTATCCTACCTATCTACCAATCCTCTCCGAATCCCTGCTCTGCTCCGTCTTCTGACGTTTCTCTTTTTGATATATTGTTGTTCGACATCACTTGCACCGTATTCCGCCTTCAACCAGCGATAAACGCAACGCCCAACGTCGACGTTTAACGTTTATTAAAACGTCCTGTTACCGTTCTACGATACCCGCCCCCCGTTCCGCCCCAGCGATAGACATAGACACCCCTGCGCTCCGCTCCGCTTCGGTTCACTAACATGCCCGTCCAACTACTTCCGGCGTCGGCCGCCGCTTTCGCTCCCCGGGCTTCATCAGTCAACGTTGTCTTGGGTTCAAAAGTCGAGCCATGGCTTACACAGACCCTCAAGCGCATCAACCGAGTCAAGCGTCCCCTCAACTCTGTACCCCAGCATCAGCGGTGCCTCACCGAGACTCTCTCATCACCGAACGCCATCTGGACCTTGACCTCTCTCATGCTGCCCAAGACCCCCGAGTCAGACTTCAAGCGTGATGCCAGCAACCCTCTGGTCGAGGCCATCATGAACTACGAGCTCGTACATGTTGAGGCTTACATTGTTCATGTCGACATGGTTCTACGAAATGAGGTCGCCTACAAGCTCACCAAGGACACCATCGATGCTCTCGTCGAGTACCACAAGGAAATCCACTGTGTCGATGCAAAGGCCAACACGTATGACTGGACAGACAAGGAGCAGCAATGCAAGAAGCTTCACGACGATTTTGTTCAAGACATCAACAAGTTTGTCTTCCGCACCCACGTCTCTGCTCTCGAGGGTCTCGAGGAGGAGGGTGCTGGTGAACTCCTCTGTGGCAAGAGCGAGGAGGTCAAGAACTGCATCAGTGCTCTTATGAAGCCCCTGCTACCTCCCCCCCCTCCCCGTGTCGTCGAAGTTGTCCGACAACCCACACTGCTGCCTAGCTCTCCTGTCAACAACATGTGGTCGCAACATAGTCTTCACGGCAGTCTTGCTGCTGTTGACTCATGGAGGGTGCTTCCCTCAAGCCCCAGCGTCACATCATCGGCCGACTCAAACACAAGTCCTATCTGGGCGCCCATGACCATGGATGATCTCTCCCCTACTCCCGCCTTCACACAGCCTCACTCTACGGCCGGCTTCTTCTGGAGCTCGCCTCAAGTGACAGCACCCATCCCCGCTCTCCCTCTTCCTAGCATGCTCGCCCCTGCTCAATGTGGTATCGGTATGGGCATGACAGGAATGGGAGGCATGAGCGGCATGGGAGGCTTTGGCTGGGACCGATACCAAGAGTATGCGACCATCATGTGACAACCAGGGCCCCAGGACAGCTATCCAGTGGTGACGACCTCGAGCTATTAATACTGCACCAACCCCTTCCTCGTTTCCCGGAGAAAAGTTGAAGCTCTCAAATTTCGCAGCGGCATAGAACAATCATCCATCATGGGCACGGCATATCGGCGTTTTATTGCATCAGGAACGGTGTTTCGAACAATTTTTATATCAATATCCCCTCTCGCATTGTTTTTATTCTTTACTTATTTTTCATTTTTCCTTTTGTCTTCATAGCAAGCGTTCTTTTGGTTTCGGGGAATCTGGTCTTATCATTCCTCTCCGGGAAACACTCTACAACGGTCGTTCACACAATCTCTATATCGTATCTGGACTTTTCTTTCATCTACCACAACACCACATGGCTGGATCCGGGGGCGGGTATTTGGACGCATTTACAACTGGGCAGGGATCCGATACAGGCGGCTTGTTTTCTTCTGGCCTTTTTCCTTCCGTCATCTTTGGTTCTCAAGAAAAAGACGTACACGCAGCAATGCACGACGCTCGGCTCTAGTCCGAGACAGAAACTTCTCTGTGGATTCTTCGCTGATGTCCCCGGGACTTTCTTTTTCCTTCTTTCCCCCCTCTATTTTCTTTATCTGTTCGGTTTAGAGAGGCTTCTTGGAAGATACCCCTACGGTCGACACACAACTGACACACTCACTTCGCTTCGTTCTTTGGCTTGCTTCCCGATTCACGACGATATTATTTTAATGACGACCTCTTCTACGACTCGATGACGAATGACTACTTCTTTTCAGACATGATACGATTTACGAGCGAAATCACAAATAATCGGCTTGACGTCGAAACTTGACTTCTTTTCGAAAGAGTATCGAGCACTGAACCTCACGCTTCATTCGGCGATATCGAGCCTCGAAGATGGTGACTGGACTGGTTCCAGGACATTACATCTGAACACAAGGCCGTCTCGACTACATCGCGTACGCCACAAAGGGAATATCTGGGATATCCCTGTGAAGGCTTGACACTGGCTGTCAAACGGGATCACCACCCTGCGCCGATCGACTTTCAGTCTTCGGTGTGAGGAGAACGGAAGGCGGAGTGAAATCATGGAATTCTTCCAATGAGCTGGGCACTGTATTTCTGCTGGGCGGAGTCAGTTGCACAGTCTTCTGTCTAACCCGATCTGCTCCAGCCAGCCATCCCTTGCGCTCAACCGCCCTGTCCGTAGGTGTCCCCATCGCCCTGAATGTGGATGAACGCACGTTGCCGAGTTGAGGTGAGAACCACCGCGCCAATTGAGCCTGCTAGACGGGCCTCGGCCGGTGGGTGACGCCGCTTCGAGGATAAATGTGTAGTTGCTCACATTTGGGTCGATGGAACGACTGGGACAGGGCAGGGATGGCTGAGGGCAGAATGTAGGATCATCCCCTACAAATCTCTCGCGCCAGATGAGTCATCACGCAGCTCGGCCTGCCAGACTCATCACAAAGCGGAGAGGTAGCTGCAAGAGAGGGGGAATAGTTACTGCTGAGCGGGACACCCCAACTTCTCTGGACCTTTGAGTCCATCGGCTAAAGATGCTGGTATCTAAGTGGCGTGGAAGGGAAACATGATACGCCCTGGTGGCGGTTCCCTTGCACAAGGACAAGTTTGCTTTGCTACAACGATTCCCTGCTCGTTGTCTTGTCGTTGCAGTATTAGTTAATCTGAACCCCAAAAAAAAACATGTTCAAATATTTAACTTCTCCCTTTTGTTGTGATGTATTTTGTGACCTATCATGAAGAGTCATTGAGAAAACTTCAGAAGATTGGCTTGATTAAATATTATTTCATGTTCGCGTACCAGCTTAAATCTCTAACTTCCGTCTAGATCAACTCGGTCTATGTAACTAAACAGTGTATTTTTCACCTTTTCCTCCGTGATATCAAATCATTAAATCACAGAGAATAATGCCCCTGACTCCCCATCGCTTAGTCCCGGATAGCAAACGCCTCCTTAGCAGTCTTGCTACTACATGCTAGACGCTCACCATATCTGATGAAAATAAAGGGAATGACACCCATCGCCACAGCAATGAATGCGAGGACCGAAGGCGCCCAGTGAAACCCCATGTTATCATACATGCTGTCCGCGGCGAGGGGTAGCGTGGTGGCCCCAACAGATCGCAACATGGCAGCAGCACCGAGGGCAGAGGCAGAATGGCTTCGGAACACGTCGGTGAGATAGTTGGTCATTCCCATGAAGAGGAGCTGGAAACCGAGGCCGAAGAATATACCGCCGAGGCTCGGAATGATGGGACTCCATGACTCCCAGACCGTCCAGCCTAGCCAGAAGAGAGAAATCACCATGCTGAAGATAGTCAGTTGTAGTTGATGACAGTGGACAATTGGGGGACTCACCAAGGGGAAGCAATGCACGCAAGAGGAAGTCTTCGATAGATATGGTTCTTTGTCCATTCAGCACCAGCAGCAGTTTGCCTGTCATGGTATCGGGTATAAATTGCGAAGACACCCAGAGACAGTACAACACCAACGCAGACTAATACCATGTTAGTATAGAGGCGTTCGGCATAGCAGACGAAACTCACATGGAATATACGCAAGCCCTGCCATACCGGGAGAAAGACCATAGAACCCTAGTCGACATTTAGATTGTTTGGCTGAGTCGGGGGGTAGATACCAACATACCTTGGAAAACACGAGGATACGCCTGAAACATGAGGTAAAATACAGAGTAGGCTAAGGTCAAATACACCGAAGTGGATGCAAGGATAGGCTCAGTAAAGAGAAGCTTCATGGGTCGAAGGAAGATCTTGCGGACGTTGAAGGGCTTCAGCTCCAGGGGCTCCTCGTCGGTTGGGCCAGTCTTGTTCCTCTTGTTGTCTTTCTCTCGCCTCTTGATATGGGCCTTGACCATCTTATTATGGAGCACAGGGGCATAAGTCTCTGGTATGGTAATGATGAGAGGAAGACCTGCAATGGCCATCATGCCAGCAATCCAGAATGGCCAGCGCCAGGAGACGGGAGACGAGAAGCCAGACACAATGGGCCCAATGAGAGGACCGATTGTAGTGACGGTCATGTAAAGAGCCATGGCGTTACCTCTAGTCGAAGGATTGTCGAGGATATCAGCGTACAGACCCCCGATGACAGTGGTTGGAGCAGCAGCGTTGATGCCACCGAGAAACCTAAAGACTAGGAGGGCAGCATAGTTGGGTGCGCCCGAACAAGCCAGCATAAAGACGATGTATCCCAGGTAAGTGCCAATGAGAACAGGCCGCCGACCAATGTATTCACTGAGGGGTCCAAATAGAAGAGGCCCTAGGACATAGCCCACCATATATAGAGAGTTGAGGAGTATGAGGTGAACGGGGTTGGTAATGCTGAACTGCTCGGCGATGATATCGAGAGCTCCCGAGGGCATAGAAGAGCCAAAGTTTCCATTGAAAGTACACGTGAAGCCGGCGATGACAATATGTAGTTTTCTCATACGTGAGAGTTTGAGAGGATCCCAAGATTCTGTGTCAGACCAGCCAGATTCGTCTGAGGAGTCGTGTCTCTTTTCGACGTCTACATTGGGAGAGCCGGCCGGGGCGGAATCGCTGCCGAATAGTTGAGTTTCGTTTCCTCCCATGGTTGATATTGAAGTCAAAGTTGGATCATATTGAGGTGGTTGTTGCAGGCACATCTATCTATATAGTTTGCTTCTCCATGACAGTTCCACAGCAGGTGGATATCACTGGATAAATTATCCAAACAGCCATTTTTCTCACGTCATCTGATTAGTTTTTCGTAAATGCTCGACTCGAGTTTGTGTGAAGGGCGCAATGGTTTTGGTGATGGTGTCTAAGTCAGATCCTGCTGTGATTGGTTCTCATCGCCGACTCAATATTTTCTATGATGGAGAAGCTTCAGAGAATAACTTCCGAGAAGGAAATGGTAAACAACGACTGGATGGAATTTCCGAGGCACCAATGAAAAGCCCCTTCCTTGTTGGGTAGTTTCTAAATTTCTCCGAGGCAGGGGCCTCTTACAGAAATCCGATCGGATGGTCGGCCAATTTGCTTTGGGTGTACAGAACGCTCTTCTGTGCGCGGCGAAGTTAGCTAGGAAAAGAAGGCCGTAAAAGGAGATATGATTATAAACCTCTTGATTAGTACCTAGGTACCTTAGAAAGAACACCTTGAAACTTTGTACCAAGGTAGGCACCCGCAGTGATAGAGAGTCGATGCTTCCTCTTTTTGACAGTGACAACGAAATACAGCAGGCACACCTACTAACCTACCTACTTCTCCCTTCCCGTCCGTAGAACACTAGGTACCTAAAATTCTTCTCGAACTTTTCCAGGTCAGCATGAACTTTTGTAACTCAGGGCACTTTGAGGCTCCACAGACTTTCACTTCGTAACAACCGAATCGGTATTCTTCTCGGCGAAAAGGGCGTACAGCAGAATACCGCCAATACCTACCTACTGAGGTACCGAGGTCATAATGCCCACCGAAAGGCGCAATGCTACTGCCTATGCTCCAACTGGGAATGCTCAGCAAGCTGTCACTAGACGACGAACCAGTATGTTCTGGACACCCCGTTGAGGATGGCGCCAATTATCTTGTGTTTGCACCTTCAGCTGATACATAACAATAGATGGAAGAGCTTGCATAGCTTGCCACCAACGCAAAGTCCGTTGTGATATCCTCGAAAAGGGCACACCTTGCTCTCACTGCCAGATCCAAAACAAGCCCAACTGTACAATATACGAGAAGAAAAAGACAAGATCATCTCGTGCATCTAATTCTCGTCCCAGCCCCGTCCCCCTCCAGCCTCGTTATTCTTCTCAACAGCCTCAGCCTCAGCCTCAGCCTCAGCCTCAGCCGGATCGTCATCATCACCACCACCACCACCACCACCACCAGCATCAGCATCAGCATCAGCATCAGCGACAGCAACCACAACCGCAATGCCTCACAGCTCCTGCGACACCCAGAGCAACGGCAGCCCTCTGGCCGGGAGTGACCATGGATCCGATTGCACGGCCAAGTTCAAGCACTGGCCATTATCAGCACGACTCTCCCTCCACGATGCAAGACTCTGGCGAGAATGAGGAAACTTACGAGACTCGCAACCTAGCTGACTTTATCGGCCAAGACTTACCCAAAGTCGGTGAGATCTCACGTTCTGAACGCCTCTACTTTATCGGTACCGAGTTCTCGAACCTCAACCATCTCGTACGTCACAGAGCTCTACGAAGGGATCAAAAGGACGTGTTGCACTTTGGGACGCGTAGACTTGCGAGAAAGGTTCCTACAGTCCCTGAAGAAGCTCTAAAGTTACCCCCTAAAGCCTTGGCTGATGAGCTTGTCACAGCGTATTTTGCCCACGTCAATCCAGGGTTTCCAATTGTTGATGAGGATGAATTCATGACAAGCTACAATGGCTCTGATGTTCCAAAACTAGTGTCCTTACCATTGCTGAACGCCATATTCCTCGTCGGCGCCCATGTACTCTCCTCCACCCGAGAGGACTGTAGGGCCAGCACTTACACCTTCTTCCGTAGAGCCAAAACGCTCTTCGACTACCGCTTCGAGCAGCACCGTGAGACGTACCTCCAAGTTGCTCTCCTATTGACATGGCAGTGTGACAACCTCGAAGATATCGTTGATAACTCATGGCACTGGATCGGAATCGGGACCCGCACTGCCTTTGGAATGGGCATGCACCGGGACGCTGGTGCCAGCACCCTGAACACCATAGACAAACGTCAATGGGTCCGGCTCTGGTGGTGTCTATTTCAGTTTGACGTCATGGTTTCGGCTTCGTTTGGTCGACCGCAAGCAATGTGAGTACGAAAAATCTTTTGACCATCCTCATCGTAACATGTTCAAGAAACCTAGAAGAGTCGGACACCCCAATGCTCGACGAAAGTCATTTTCAAGGCATTCCTCATGGCAACCCAACTTTCGCCATCGAGCATACAAAACTGTGCATCATCTTCTCCAAGGCCATGAGACGACGTGTTGCCTTACGAGCCACAGAAGCCGATAGAGCAGCGGCAACCAAGGAAGCTGATGAGGAACTTGCTGAGTTCATAACCCAACTGCCGCAAAGCCTCCAAATCCCACACTCCGACCCGGACACTTGGCAAGCAACTCTTCACCTCTCGTATCACAACTTTCTTATCCTTCTCCACCGACCTCCGCCTCATCAAGAGCCGAACCGGTTTTCACCTCACTCTGCCATGGACCACAGCATCTGTGGCGATGCTGTTGTAGCGATAAACTCTATCTTTGAATCTCTCCGCTCAAGGAATTCGTTATGCAATCTGTGGCTGCCTTCCGTCCATGTTCTTTTCACCAGCCTGCTGCATGTTGCCAGTGAGCTAAACTCTCCCAATCCTCTCATTGCTGCAAAGTCATCCCGCATGTTTGACTCTCTTATCCACACACTCCGAGATATATCACAGAACTGGATATATGCCAAGAGTCTACTGCGGCTCTTTGAGGAACGGACTATGTGGAAAAAGAGACAGAGAGGGCATGTACTAGGATCATCTGAAGATCGGACCATTCAACAAAGTCAAGAGTCTCCAACTACTCGTACGGGCGCTTCTGGGTTTTCGCTGCGCCCTGATCCTCTAGGTGTCCCCAGTATCATGGGTGATGCTCCATCAACTCTTCAGTCATCTTCTGCCCCAGTACCTGAACCAGCATACGGCTTTGATTTCGACTTCGGTGTGCACCAGGGTCTTTCATATGGCGAGGGCTTTTCAAACGGCCTTGACATAGCCGGGAATGGAAGCGAGGCCATGAATCTGCTCCCTGTGCCTTCGGTATTGGAGTTTCTACTGGCTGGTGTTGATAATCAGTATGACTTCTGATTGAACGGCGATCAACCAAGTAATTGTGCCTTTTCGCTGCAGTATTGTGTATGCAAGTCTTCGACGCAGCAGGTAGGGGTTGGAAACTAGGATGTGGCCTGTCATCCATGACTTCGAAAATGCCAACTACCATAACCCATATAAGACGTCTCATAAAGTTATTTTAAACCAAAGCTTTTGCCATGAAATCAAATCATCTATTGACGACACTAACAGTCCGCACATGCTGCCAGCCTGTTCATCCTGAACGTTGCATCCGGCTAGGGGAGACAAGAAAATTTAGGATCCTTATCCTAAGTAAGGAAAAGAATTAGGTAGCGTTTAGTATATCTTAGCAGGCCTTTGGGCGAGGTTGTTTTGGTATCCTGATTTCATGCCAGAAGATTTCTTGCTCCCTAGCGTTCGGCTACCTAAGGTTCCCATGTACCGTCCCAACTGCACCTTTGATCTTGGTCCTCCAGTCTCTCACTACGAACACCACTCGTACCCGCTGACTAAGGCCACATAGACTTCAGTGAAGCTCCTCCTGAGGATCCGTGACAGTTCTAGGATGTAGATTCGGTGGACCAACGGGTCCCATATGCGCCCTAAGGGCCAAGCAAACAAGGGTCGCCAGGGAGATTCGGAAATTCTGAGCAATCATCTTTCACCATTTGGTCTCCGGGATTTAGTCATATAATGCCTAGCTGCAACCCTTCTCGCAAATCAACTGCCGCACGAAAATCGACTGTTCAGTTTGTATCCATTACTCATCTCATTGAACACGAAATACGCGGTCGACATGGGGTCCTGCATGCTTCTTCTCTCGGTACAGTCGCTTGTAGGCGTTGGCTCCGAGCCAGCGAAGTAAGGCTTGTCACCTCCATCAGCGAGCGAAAAGAAAAAAAGAAACGATATGTTCTTTGGGCTTCGAAGTAGTTCATCATTGAATAATATATCTCATCTCATGTGACAGCTTGTGTGCAATCATAGCCTCGCAGCCATACTCCAACACCAACACTACGTCCATCATCCTATGCCGTATACCATATACCCAACCCATACCATATACTCGAGCCAAGACAACCAAATAAACCCTTTCCCACGTCCCACCGTCATCTTTAATTTTGATACATTGCTTTCGTCACCGTCCCAACCTTGCCTTGCGCCAACGCCAGTAGCCCTGTCTGTTTCTCCGTTCCTTCGGAGATGCATTCTGACTCGAGATGCTGGTTTGGACCCCCGTTGCTCGGACTTCTGAGCAGATGCACCGTCCGTCCACACATCGATATTGTACACGTATATACTGCAATCATTAGAGCAACATAGACCAACACCTTCCCCCAAAACAAAACTTGTAGAACACACAATATTCAGCCAGAATCACATCAACTCATTGGTCGCTCTGGATAGCCTTTCCAGCTTCATGAGCACGTCATTGAAGCATAATTTGACCACGCCCCTCTTTTCACTCCTAGTTGATGAGTGCTGTAATACCTCATCCAGTCATGTCTGCAGTAGACGGAGAATTCGTGCCTTTGTGTCTTCTGAAAAAGGGAAGATCCTTTATCCTGAACTTGCTTGTCTTCTTTCGTAGCGACTTGCCCTCAGCCCTGCCGATGCTTCCACCTGTCGTGCTCGCATCGGACCTTGTTTCGTCATCGATAGGTGAGCCATCCTGGTGAAGGGTTCCTGAGCTGTCTTTCAAACTTGCAGAGTCGACGTTGATCTTAGGAATTCCAACGGCATGTTCAGTCGAATCTCCGCTCACGATACTCGTACCACGTGTGCTTGGTGACATCGGCATCTTGCCCGTTGTAGCGCTTGTCGCTTGTGAAGCCCAGTCTCCCGAGCAAGCCCCAGAAACACTCCCATCTGTCGTCTCGCTGGATCGTTGCTTCGCTGAATCCCTTCTCGTTTGCGTCTGAAACGGATCACTGTTCGCCAGTTCTCTAACCGCATCAAATGTTGAAGCTGATCCGTTCGATCCCCTGTGGTCACCAGCTACACCGTTTGTGGCTGATGGTCCCATTGTCCTCTGACTGTCGGCCGGCGATAAGTCATCCCTTTCTGGGCGTGGCATGGGTAGTTCGCCGTTCCCTACAGGGGTCGTGTCCGATCCACGATCCAGTGCCTCGAACAGAGGTGTCATATCTCTCTTCTCCTCTTTCTCCTCCTCTTGTGGCACAGCAAAACTCATGGTCCTTGGGGAAAATGTACCTTCCTTCAGGAGACGTCTCCTGATTGGGTCATCTAGGGGTTGCTTTTCTTTCTCTTGTTGAAGCTTAAGCTCGAAGAGACTCTTATTCATCTCAAGCTCGTCGACGGTGTACTGCATAGCGGGCATGATGTCGGCGACGCCTTGGAATAGAGGGGTGGCAAAAAGATTCATAAAGCCGAGTTGGCCTTTAGCCAGTGAAGTCATGTCTTGCTTGGGCGGTGTCATAAGTGATGAAGGGATGCTCAGCTCACTCTCCATCGAGGCTTGTCGGGAGAACTCTTCTGAGAGAATGTAAGTCCACTTCAAAGCTATTTCATGGTTTCGTGCCTAGATTTGCGTTTTTAGCTGGTGAACCCGTGATGTCATTAACAAGGGGGAGGCTGGCATACCACGTTGCTAATATCAGCACATTTGATGAGTAACGAACAAGCAAGAGACTTGTTCTCTTCAATTTGCCGACCATTCCAACCGTCGGCGCTATTGTTAGCTTGAAGTCGTTCTTGAACATCTCCGAGCTTCTTCATATAGTCGAAATGCAAGCCCATATCCGTAGCCAAGATAGAGCTAATCATCAGGTTACGCATCTTTGTATCTTCGAAGGCGGAGGGCCAGTATCGTCGAAGAATCTGCGAGTAAGCAGCGCAATGGAACGATTCCAAAACAGATCGATCGTTGTACAACTGTGCTAGGGGAGCATTTAGTGTCACAAGGAAACCGTTGTTCACGCCAGGGTGTCCGACGTCATGCCCAATAGCAGTGATGAGGAGCGTCAACGCTTCAAACGGAGTTATGAGAGAAGCCATAGGCGACTTCTCTGGCATGGGACGGGACTCGGTACCCGAAGGATACGGCGACAGAGCACCGATATGTACCAGGAAATTGAAGGTAGCTTGTAGTACATCCACAACATGACGGAAATTGTGGTAAGGCACAAAGCTATTGTATGCAGCACGGCAAGCAACAAGGAAGCTGATTAGTTGATCTGAAGCTGAGTCAGTATGCGGGCAACCGACACCACCCCAAAACAGTACAACGTACCTGCATGTATCCGCCATCGCTCAAGTTCTGGCATAGACAAGGCATGTCGAAACATGTCCATTGCGGCCACCAACAACTCATCATCGGTGAATGAGTGAGCGCAGAAGCGCCAACTTCCTATTGCCTCAGCAATGGCAGATTGTCGTTCCGAAGAGACGGCCACATGAGCATTGTTGATTTGGTCGTCACTGGTGCCTAAACGGCATATTCCTTTCATCAGACCGGATACCATGGCTTCACGAAGGTATGCGAAGGGCTTCTCTTCGTTGACTCCCACCCACGACCGTTTTCGACCTTGTCTAATTTCCAGCAAGGTTGACTGTTCCTTGGCGGCATCTCTGTGAGCCCGATAGGCGCAGATTTCCAGACTTGTAATACATTTGGTGCTCATTGGACAAATTATGACGTCGACCGCCCCCAGATCTAGGCACCTCCTAATGAGCTGACGATTTTTGTCAAGCGATCCCAATGGCAAAGGCTTCTGCTCAGCTGTGCCGTCGGTCATCTGTCCGTTGGCTGTGGGGTGACCTGCCTCGGAATTGCTTATCACCGGAATCGGTACAACGAGTTTAGACATACCGCGCAAATGCGCTTCGGTGATGATTTTTTGCAGCAGTCCCAGACCGTATAGTGCTTCGTCGGGTGTGTGAATGTCGACATTTTCGTTGGAAGAGCTGCATGAAGGTGAAGGTGACGACGCCCTTCTCCGCGCTTCGGGTACTGGGTCATCGTTTGGCGTATCAAGGAGAACCAGGGTTGGCTTCAGGTCCAGCATTGAACCCTCTTGTAATTCGAATAATTTTGCTAAGCAGGCACCTCCAGATGCGCAAACATGAACTGGACAATGTGTTAGTGAGTGGGGAAATGACTCATGGCGATGCCATAACGAAAGAACGAACCGTCGCCGAAGGCATCTAGCAGAGGTTGTACGACGTGACGAGCCTCATCCGTTGCCCAATCGGATGTGCTGTCGCCAGAAGCGCTGTGAATCAATCCATTTTCGCTGACATTGCGATTGACGTAAATAACGTGACAGGCGGCGCGGTCCATGGTGCTCATGGAGAGCTACCAGTCTCGCGACTGGAGCACCGTAGCCCTTCGGGCAGTTGCGTATTTGTACCAAGATAAAGCGATTGACCGGGACCAGATAGCCTCACGAATGCCGGAGACCAAATTATCTCAAAGAGCGAGCCGATCGAGCCTCGAACGTTGGATGAGAGCAAAGTAGAATAGAATTTCGAGGTCGTGATTGAAAACACGATTGTCGCGAAGCAGCCCAATAGAATTGACTCAATAGCCACACGACATACGGGTTTGTGGCTAACAAGGGGTGTTTAAATTGAGAGATAGGAGACTGTGATGCTGATTCGTCTCGAGAAGTTCGTATGCGATGTTGTCGAGTTGAGTTGATTCAATGAACCTAGTTCGGTAGTACAGACGAATGGTGTTTTCTGATGGGAGGGTCGGACAGGCTGTCAGACTGGCGTCGAGGCGGGCGGGAGCAGTCGGTTGGCGACAGGGTTCGTACCATTAGAAAATTCGGTCGAGGCTGAGAGACGAGGGGCGGATATTAGCTGGTAAGCAAGAGGAAAATGTCGCGAAAGACGTGGTAAATGCGGCGATGCGAAACGAAGACGAGGGAATTGAAAAATGATGGCGCAGGAGGAGAAGCGCGATGGATTGTGAATGGGGGGGGGGGGGGGGGACAAAAGGACTCGGAATCTGGACTCGGATTGGGCCAAGATGGAAAGAGCCACCAGGGAATAGGAAGGGCCAGGGGATGAAGAAGAAGGAAAAGAGGCCAGGAAGGACGTCGGATTGAGGGTTGGATTCACAGGTAGTGAGAAGGAAGTACGGACGGACGAACTGGACTGGACTGGACTGAAGACAGTACAGTACAGTACAACCAACACTACAAGCAGGACCAGAACAGAGCACGCGTGTGCTGGAACAATGGATGGTATCAGGGCAATGAGTAAGGGAATCAGCCCAGGCTTTAGCTTACCAGTCTTGGTTCAAGGTACGAGCTGCCTACTGGATGTCCAGCAGTACGAGACCTACTTAGCGGCACGCAGAAGGTGTCTGACCCTGGTCGGAGAATGGAAGGACTAGGGAAGGGTAAGGGAAGACCCAAAGACAGGGCAAGGGCACCGACAGTCGCGGTAACCGGGTCCGGGGCAGGAGGGAGAAGATCTGCGAGCGTGGCTGCAAGCGGAGGAGAAGCGATTGCAGTGTACAGTAGCGCAAGTGTGAGTGCAAGTCTGGTAGGGAGCACAGCAACGCACAAAACGCAGACAGCCCGGGTGATAGTGCGATGTAACAACCAGAAAGAATTTGAGAAGGATGAGGCGAGAGCGATATTCACTGCCGATGAAAGCCCTGGGATTAGGGTGAGAAAAGACCAGATGAAAAGCAGAGAAAGAGTAAATGTCTGGACTGAAGCCTGGACTTGACTAGTTCGAATTGAACCAAAATGTGACGCAACACAGTTCTAACCTCTGGAGCCTATCGACCAGTACCCTTTGTTTTCACAGGTGGAGCGTGAGGAACAACGACAGGGCAAGGCGAAGCCAAGAACCAAAAGGCAACGTTAGCAGGCAGAAGCAGAGACGGGAACCAAGCCTGGCGCCGGCAGTCGAATTACTGGAATAGATTGATAACCGCCTTAGTGGAACGATTTGCCGAGAAGAAGAAGTACGAGAGGCGCGCAGAAGAAGGGGCTCAAATGGCGAGTCAGATTCGACCAGATCGGGGGCCAATTTCAAGTGTCGAGTTGGTTCAGGTGAGACGGACTCAGTCCGAAGGCATTAGGGTAAAGGTCACTCTGTTCTGGGAGAAGCTGGAGGGATGGGATTGTGAGTGAGGGGAGTCTCAGAACCAGGGGGGCAAGGATTTAAACCGATCTTGTTCCATACCCATTAATCACTTTTTAGAATCATGAAGGTGGTCATGAATCGTTCTAGGGGACTATAGCGCTACTCCGGAGTACATGGTATGGATATAAGGCAGCGCTGCTTGAGAAATACCTACTGTTCCCCCCAGGGTTTCCTATAAGGCACCTAAACAAGGATAACCATATGCAAACAAAGGAGTGTGGAAATGAGTGCTCTGTTTGAAACATGAATGGGGGGGTCGAGATGTTCTTACTATGAAAAGCGTACAAAGTACTGTAGAACTCCTAATAAAGAAAGATCGAGTAGGAGTCCTGTGCAGTCTATTGGCTCGATGACGCAGATCTTACAGACTGTATTAGGCTTTGGTAGAGTTGCAGCAGGAAATATGCAGCACCATTTGGCCTCAGTTTATGAACACCAGCTACCTTACTGAATACTAGGTAGGTACCCAAGGCAATCAAATCTAATGCTTCACTCGATGACAGGATGGATGCATTATGGTCCAGTCCAGAGAATTGCTCCTGATTAACGCAAGCAATCAAATATACAACAACAAAGAGTACCTGCTAACCTACCTACTTTTGCCTAGGTACCTAGTTACTTGCAAAGGAGGGCTGAGAGGCATCAGAGTTTGCGGAAGTGCCGTCTGGGCTGGAGGAGAGGGCGCAGACTTAGGTTCCGTGTTGTGTGGATTCCGAGACCTTGTTTTTTCCAAGTGATTTTCAGTGGCGAGCGACTTGTCAGCGTGGTCGGGTGTACCTAGGGAAGGCCAGACATAACGTTCATTATAGGCCACCGTAGGGTTACGTGCTCTGCTGTGCCGCCTGCATCAAGGTCCGAAGAGGTCCATCGTGAGTGAGGTTGGACAATGTTCTTGGATGTGGTCGAGGATCGTCGCTACCTTACCTTGCGGGCTTGCAGGCATGGGAGCCGGAGGTGCCTTAACGTGCTTGCAACGCGACGCGAGGCACCAAGGCCAGCTGGGCCAGAGCCTAGCCCTAGAGACTAGAGAGGCTAAGGATTGAGTGCAGAACCCACCTCGTGCTCCACACCTTGGGCCAGGATCATGGCCCCCTTGTCTTCGTGGCAACCAATTATGTCGTGTGTGCAGCGTCAGCCAACAGGGTTGACGATGGAGGGTCCAAGCGGCTTGCTTTGAATTCTTCTGGCCGTCTTCGAGAATCTAGGATGGGGACACCCGCCCCATATTTACTGAACAGGGGTATGTGGTGGGCCGCAACGCAAAGGGGAACCACGTAAGAATCATTCTCGAAGGAAGTACAGTTTGGGTACAGTGTATTCGACATACCTAGCACATGCATGCCCGTGCTATTGTCCTTGTTAATAACCCCAACACCCACCACCAGTGATCAGTCGAGCTTCGTATGACGGTGGGTAATTAATTACCTACCTAACGGCACAGGTTTTGCTGTAAAAAGGCAAGGCAGCTCATTACTCAGCCAAGTAATGCACTGTCATTCGCCCAGCGAGATAGTTTTTCGTCATGACGTCTCCCGTATCACATCCAGTAAAAGCTCTTATTTTGGTTCACCAACTGGAAAATGGAAGACTCACAGGATTCCCGCACGGTCAGGGTCAGGTTCATAGGTCATGGCCGCTAAGTACCTACCTATGCACCGGGTATGATTCCGTGCAGGTAAAAGTGCAGCCAGAACCCACCCAACTCTAGGTAGGCCCTGCCTTGCCTGGCTACCTGGGCAGTGGGCTACTGGGCTACTGGGATACCATGCATCAATTCAGTGGCTGTTTGTTAAGATCTTTGTGGTTCTGGATCTATATGTATGCGTACTTCGTACAGTACATATAATTGATTCATGAATTCAACTACCTGAGACTGCCTACTGGGATTATCAATAGGTGTGTAAGGTACCTTAGTAGATTCACAGCATACATATACCAGTCAACTCCACATTCAAGTCGACTAGGTAGGGAGCCTCTTATGGGTCCCTTTTGGTTTGACACACACGAACGAACCAATCCAATATGACGTGATTCGACGGAGTAGATCTGAGATCCAGATCTCGTCGCCAGAGCCTCTTAGCTTTCCGAGACCCTATCGGACTCTCATCAGCAACGCCAACCTCTTCCGCCTTCATTCTTCTCAACTCTTCTTGTCTTGCTCGTCCATTCCTATCTCAATTGCCTCATTCCATCACCTGTCGCTTTCGCCATAGGCCATAGGCCCGCTGCCCCGCACCACACCGGCTCGAAACTCTCCCCGCCTCTAAGTGAAGCTACTGAGAGACGAGGTACGCAACAGCTACGCTTTAGGTATAGGATGGCTGTCGACAGTTACCCAGGCTGCCAGGCCATCGCGGTGCCATACGCAGAATGTGATGAGATTTAAGAAGCAGCTTGCTTCTTCTATCTAGGCTGAAAGCAGCTATGGTTTACATACCTAGCACCTAGCTAGGCTAGACTTCCAGAAGGTTCTTTAGGTTTGCCTGATTGGCAATCTGCATCTTAAGGAAACATACAGACATAACCAACAAACATACTGGTAGCAAATAGCAAGAAAGGGAGGCAACAAGTCTAATCAACAGAATGGAGCCATCTTCGGTTCGTTCCTGGACTCAGTACATACATACATACATACAACTTGCAACAACGTCTACCGACGCCGCATCCAAAATTCCCCCGTTCGCTCCAATGAATGATGTGAAGCAGTATATTGATACTCATCCACACACACATACTTGAGCAGATGGTTGGTTTCCTCAGTTGGCTCAAAAGAAGCCCAGACCTTCAGGGCAGCCGCACATGAATTGGCCATTCATCGCTCCAGCTGGTTGCCAGATAACTGTGACCTGCAGCCCGTCCGCTCCTATCTCTTGTTACTTTACGCATGCTGTCTACCAAGCCTTTCCATACCGGTTATGGACCACGAGAGCAGCCACGTAGGCTACTCATACGATCTGGTTACTGGCTTACTTGTAGTCAGGTAGCTGGCTAGAGTAGGGTACCTAGGAACCTAGCCTTGGATCTGTCAAAGCCCTGCCACACATGACGCATTTCAAAGACTCGATCTGCTGGTATTACAAAGACTCCACTTCGAGCCGCAAAATGAGCAAAACTCACTTCTCCATGTCCATCTCCACAGAGTCCCCGAACCGAGGCAAGAATTCATGCCTGCTA